GATGGCTTGGTTTTTGGTTTGGGCGAACACCAAGTGTTTTTAATGACTTAAACCAGTTTGAAAAACATTTTTATGATGTAAGAAATGCAATGAAGGATTTTAGCCTAAAGAGCCAAGGTGTAAAGATTGGGTCGGTCTTGATCACAATGAAGACCGACTCAACGACACTAAGACTACGGTCTTCGTTCTTGGTCTTCTTTTTAGCTCTTGTTCTTGTCTTCCTTCTTCGCCTTATATATTCAATGTTTTGACTTGATCACGGCGGTTTGGCATTATCAAAACCTCTTACAAAGACGAACACGGCTTTAGTACGAAAACGTGACAAGCCCGTGTTTCAACAATTTCCCCCTTTTTGATAATGACAAACGAGATGAGGTTATGCATATGAGGAAGTCTTTGAGACTTTTAAAAAAAATGTTCCCCCTTAATAGATGCCATTTTATTTAAAAAAAATTCCCCTTCAATTTATGCATAACCTTGATATCTTCCCCCTTTTGACATTAACAAAAAGAATTAAAAGTAAACTTTAGATTTAAAAGTGAACTTTTATTTCTTTAAAAAAGGAAATGCGGAATACAACGGAATGAAAATAAAGACAGTCATAGTAAGGAAAGGAAAAGAAAGAAGAGTCTAGGCAGCGGCGTCCTCGTCATCGTCTTCTTTGTCGTCCTCGATGTCCATAGCATCCCCGTCGACCGCGTCGTCAAAGTCGGCCTCGTCGGGGGAGGAGGACGGAGCATAGGAGTCATCCTCCTCGTCCTCGCCTTCAAAGTTTTGGCCGAGGATGTTGCTGTCAAAGGGCGGCGGGACGTAGTTGATGCCCCGGAAGTACGCCCTCATGTTGTGGCGTTGGCGTTGTATCGACCAGTCCATCCTCTCCAGGTACTGGCCCATGCCATCCACGGTGACGGTTAGCCGATTCAGGGTATCGGCTATGGACTGCAGTGAGGCGGGAGCGGGAGCGGGGGCAGGGGCAGGGGCACGGGCACGACTCGGTCCAGCACCTGTTCCATCACCGGACTTCTTCCGGAAGGTGCTGTCTTGGATGATCCACAGCTTCGTCATCTTCGTGTCCGGGCCGACGATGTGGATGTCGGAGGCACTGATGAGATCCATGACGAGGAAGGCGTATGGCAAGCTCCGCTCGTTGGTGATGGAGGCGCAGTTCGCCATGTGAATCATGACGTATTTCGCCCAATTGATCGAGGCGCCATGGGTGATTGCATGAACGGCCTTGAGATCCTCGTTGAAAAGGCACGTGTGGCTACCGTCCCGGGGGCGAAGAATCCGGGTGAGGATATAGAGTAGGAGACGCTTCTCCGGCGGGGCTGAGTGAATGGTTGGTGCGCCGCTGTGACGGACGAGGTTGGTGATTCCCAGCTCTCGGATGACCACCGCCTCGTTGTTGAGGACCCAATCATCGCCGCCATATGTGGCGATGTCGTCACCGCGGGTGGGCAGCCCTGCGTTCCGAGCGAAGGTAGCCAAATCAATCTCTATGTCGTAGAGATTGATGCTACTGCGGATGGTGTCTCCGTCCCGGCGGAGATTTGAGTAGAAAGCCCGGACGTAGGCAGGATTGTAGGATTGACGACTTCTGGAGACGAACGGCCACAGACCCGACTCTTTGAGTTGGTTGTCGAGGTCGTGGTACCCCTTTTGTTGAGGGTACAACTCGGGCAGCACTCTTGGCGGAGAGATTGGGCGTTTGGCGAAGTGGGTGATGAAGCGAGTGAGTTCCTCTTCCGACCCGAACTCAAGAAACGAGCCGTCCAGGTATGGGAAGGGTTGAGGCGCAGAGCTCGTAGCCTCGGAGGCGGTCTTCTTCTTGGAGGCCTTGCTCTTGGACTTTCCTCTGGCCATGATAGTGTTGCTTACAAAGATTGATGAAGAGAGTGAAATTTGATTAGGAGATTAAGAGTTGGATGAAAATTGTGATTAGGAATGGTAGGATATGATGTATATTTATAGGAGAGAGGAGAGAACCGTTTGAAATTTGAAAAAACTAGCTGTTGGGCCATTAAATGTGGTTCCAACGGTTCTGAAAATTCAACCTGCACTCGCCTTCCCAGCGATGGTAGGATCTACCCATCGATGGGAAGGCCGCTACTGGAAAAGCGAGAAGAAACTGAGGCTGCCTTCCCATCGATGGTCAAACTTACCCATCGATGGGTGGGTGGCTACTGGAAATCCGATAGAATGTTTTAAAAAAATAGTGTCAAACACCCAGCGATGGGAGAAAGTTCCCATCGATGGGAGGGGGGGTTCTGAAAAAAAACATTTTTGACAAAAGTCCTTCACCCAGCGATGTGATAAAATACCCATCGATGGGTTAGGGTGTTCTGGAAATCCGTTAAGTATTTTTAAAAAATAGAGTCAATTGCCCATCGATGGGAAGAAGCACCCATCGATGGAAAGAGGGGTTCTGAAAAAAATAACACTTCCCTCCCAGTGATGGTATGGCCTACCCATCGCTGGTTCCCCCTGATTTCCAGAATTCTTCGCTTCGAACCGTCCCTGCAAAAAAGAGTTAGAAAACCCTCCGACGCTCAAGTTAGTAAGTGTTCCAGCAAAGATAAAAGAGTGATAAAATGCACAAATTAGATCATCGTGGAGTCAAGGATTCCGAGTTCACTACGAATGCGGAAGAACGACTCTTTCTCTAAAGGTTTTGTGAAAATGTCGGCTAACTGGTTGTGTGTTTCAACAAACTCAATTTTGACATCACCTTTGAAAACATGATCTCTAATGAAATGGTGCCTAATGTCAATGTGTTTCGTCCTTGAATGAAGAACGGGGTTCTTCGTTAAGCTAATGGCACTAGTATTGTCACAACGAAGAGGAACGTGACTGATACTAAGGCCATAGTCCACGAGTTGTTGCTTCATCCAAAGGGTTTGAGCACAACAACTAACGGCGGCTACATATTCCGCTTCGGTTGTGGATAACGCAACACTGACTTGTTTTTTGCTAAACCATGAAACTAAAGAGCTACCAAGTAAGTGGCAAGTCCCACTCGTACTTTTACGGTCCAATTTGCAACCGGCAAAGTCCGAGTCGGAGTAGCCAACGAGAAGACACGAAGAGCCTTTAGGATACCACAGTCCAACGTTAACCGTGCCTACAAGGTATTTCATGATCCGTTTCACCGCCGTTAAGTGCGATTCCTTCGGACATGATTGATACCTTGCGCAAAGGCATACGCTAAACATGATATCCGGCCTACTAGCGGTAAGATAAAGAAGGGATCCGATCATACCTCGATACTTTTTGACTTCAACTTCCTTACCTTTTTCGTCTTTGTCTAGGTGGTCGGACGTGCTCATCGGGGTCGCCATTGCTTTGGCGTTTTCCATTTCGAATCGTTTTAGGAGCTCCTTGCAGTACTTTGTTTGGCAAATGAATGTGCCATCTTTCATTTGCTTGACTTGGAGTCCCAAAAAGAATGTAAGCTCACCCATCATGGACATCTCAAATTCGCTTGTCATTAAGGTTGAGAATTCCTTGCACAAAGACTCGTTAGTAGCACCGAATATAATATCGTCTACATAAACTTGAACCAAAAGGATGTTATTGTTTTTACTCTTGATGAAAAGTGTAGTGTCAACCTTTCCCCTTTGGAAACCACTATCCAAAAGAAATTTACTCAAACGTTCGTACCAAGCACGTGGTGCTTGTTTAAGACCGTAGAGCGCTTTCTTGAGTTTGAAGACGTGATCGGGAAACTCAAAGTCCTCAAACCCCGGGGGCTGGTCAACATACACTTCCTCTTGAATAAAATCATTGAGGAAGGCACTCTTGACATCCATTTGATAGAGCTTAAAATCCATAGACGAAGCAAAAGCAAGAAGTAAACGAATAGCTTCTAAACGTGTTACGGGTGCATAAGTTTCTTCGAAATCAATGCCTTCTTCTTGATTGTAGCCTTTAGCTACAAGCCTAGCTTTGTTTCTAGTGATTATTCCACTTTCATCAAGTTTGTTACGGAACACCCATTTCGTACCAATAACCGTACGATCATCGGGTCTTGGCACCAATTCCCAAACGTCATTCCGTTTGAATTGGTTTAGCTCCTCTTGCATAGCCAAGGTCCAATGTTCGTCGTTTATTGCTTCGGAAATGGTTGTAGGTTCAATTTGAGAAACAAAAGCCATGTGTCCTACGGTGTCCCTAAGTGAGTTACGAGTACTTACCCCGCGGTTGATGCTACCGATTACCTGGTCAAGCGGATGGTTCTTGTTTGTTCTCCATGCAATAGGAAGCTCGGTTGCTTCTTCTTCTTCTTCGAGTTCCGCTTGTTCTTCTTCTTCCTCTTGTCTTTCTTCATCACCTTGGTTAGCTTCTTGAGGTATTTCCTCAGTTTGTGGCTGTGTGTTGGTGTAAATTCCCGTGTTCTCCTCATCGTCATCAACGTGTATTCTCTCTAATGAATCTGCAAGATCATCACAAATATCCTTTCTCGCCAAGCGAGGGTTATCTTCGGAAAATACAACGTGAGGGGACTCCTCAATAGTTAAGGTGCGTTTATTGAAGACTCTATAGGCCTTGCTACGTAATGAGTAACCCAGAAAAATTCCTTCATCCGACTTGGCATCAAATTTGCCTAAATTGTCTTTGCCATTGTTGTGAATAAAACATTTGCAACCAAAGACTCGAAGATGGGAAAGGTTTGGCTTTCTCCCTTTGTATAGTTCATAGGGTGTTTTCATGAGTATCGGTCGAATGACGGCTCGGTTTAACACATAGCTCGCGGTACTCACGGCATCCACCCAAAAATACTTAGGGATTTTTGCCTCATTGATCATAGTTCTAGCCATCTCTTCGAGACATCTATTTTTACGTTCCACCACTCCATTTTGTTGTGGTGTACGTGGGGCTGAGAAGTTATGATCAATGCCAAGTTCGTCACACAAATCTGAAAACAGATTTCGTTCGAACTCTCCCCCATGGTCGCTTCTTATGGCTACTATGGTTGTTTCTTTTTCATTTTGAACTTTCTTTAAGAAATTTTTGAAAACATGAAATGCCTCACTNTCCGCCCAAAAATACTTAGGGATTTTTGCCTCATTGATCATAGTTCTAGCCATCTCTTCGAGACATCTATTTTTACGTTCCACCACTCCATTTTGTTGTGGTGTACGTGGGGCTGAGAAGTTATGATCAATGCCAAGTTCGTCACACAAATCTGAAAACAGATTTCGTTCGAACTCTCCCCCATGGTCGCTTCTTATGGCTACTATGGTTGTTTCTTTTTCATTTTGAACTTTCTTTAAGAAATTTTTGAAAACATGAAATGCCTCACTTTTGTGAGTTAGAAACAAGGTCCATGTAAACCTAGAGTAGTCATCGACAATCACAAACGCAAAGTAATTGCCACCAAAACTTTTCGTTCTAGAAGGACCAAAGAGATCCATGTGCAAAAGTTGAAGCGGTCTAGACGTTGAAACAACGTTTTTAGACTTAAACGAAGTCCGAACTTGCTTCCCCTTTTGACATGCATCACATATGGTGTCTTTTTCAAACTTAAGTTTTGGGATGCCAATTACTAAGTCTTGTGAAACCAATTTGTTCAAAAGGTTCATGTTCATGTGAGCTACCCTTCGGTGCCATAGCCAAGTGTCTTCCTCTTTACTCATGAGGCACTTAGCAAAGTCGGAAGGAGATTTGTCTAAGTTAACCATATAAATGTTATCGATTCTATCGCCACGTAGAATGACCTTATTGTCACTAAGGCGTTCTACAGTGCATGATTTTGAATCGAAGGTCACACGGTTTCCCTTGTCACATAATTGACTTATGCTCAAGAGATTGTGTTTAAGACCTTTGACGAGCAAGACATTATCTATAGAGGAGTCTTCGAACTTAACTTACCTACTGAGCCGACGCCAATAATTTTCCCTTTGCTATTATCTCCAAAGACAACGTTTCCTCCTTTAGCAGGTTTGATTTGTAGGAACTTGGATGCATCTCCGGTCATGTGCTTGGAACATCCGCTATCAAGGTACCAAAGTACACTTGATGCCTTCAAGCATACCTACAAAGATGATTTAATAAGATTTAGGTACCCAAGTCTTTTTGGGTCCTTGAGTCTTAGGTGCAAAGTGGTAGTGTGATTCATTTTGTGCCCAATGCCTATGCCTAGTAAAGCAAACATGACCTATATGTCCTACCCTATTGCAGTAATGGCAAACTACGTTTGGGTTGTGCATTCTTCTAGGTTGATAGTAGTTGCTAGGGGGCCTAACCATATTCATCCTGTTTTGAGAAAACATTGGTTTTTGAAAATTTTCCCTTCTAGGTGTCCTAGACTTATTTTGTCTATTCGAAAAATTATTTTTATGCACAAAATCATTTTGATAACTCTTCCTAGGTTGTCTAGCATGCACACTTTCATTCCTGGGTTTTTGTCTAGGTTGTCTAGTGTCCTTAGTTTGACTAGATTTTCTATTATCCTGATTTTTATCCTTCTTATGTTGAGCCTTATTAGATTGTCTAGGTGTGTGCTCAACGTTTTTATCCTTAGATTCATTTTTATCAAAACCTATTCTTTCTTTAGAAAAATGCATAGTATCTAGGAGTAAATTAAGATCTTTGTGTGGTGTATTAAACTTCTTAACCGTACTCTCAAGTTTTGCAACCTTTTCTCTTAAAGTTTTGCAAGATTCACATTCACTTGAAGAACTTTCTGGTTTGTCAGCGCTTCTTTTACCATAAAATTTATTTTCTTGTTTCAACTTTTCATTATCTTTTTCCAGTTTTTCAAAATCGTTTTCAAGGGTTGAAAGACGTTTCTTTAGTGATTTGTTGGTTTTAGAAGCGCTAACAAATTCATCATAAAGTTCTCGAAGAGCTTCTTGCATCTCTTCAAGAGTGTAAGAGTCGGAAGAAGGGGTACATACCTCTTGAACGTCGTCGGTTTGATCTTCGTGTGCCATGAGAC